TAGCACTTATCCTCAGATGACATGAACACAGAATTACATATTTTCTATCACACACTCTTGATATATATTTTTACAGATAAGAGTACATCTTCTGTAAAAACAAAGCAAGACAGTTTAGGAAGAAAATTCTTCCCGGCTGGGGGTGGTGGTTCATGCCTATAATCCCAGCACTTTAGGAGGCCAAGGTGGGCAAATCATCTGAGGTCAGCAGTTCGAGACCAGCCTGACCAACACAGAGAAACTCATCTCTACTAAAAATACAAAATAACCCAGGTGTGGTGGTGCATCCCTGTAATCCCAGCTGCTTGGCAGGAGAATCACTTGAATCCGGGGAGCAGACATTGCAGTGAGCCGAGATGGCACCATTGCACTCCGGCCTGGGCAACAAGAGCAAAACTCCATCTCGGAAAAAAAAATTGTTTCTAACAGAACACCTAAATCTCTCTCTACTCCCGGAATTTTTCTCCACCCTTACTGCACAATTCTGTACTTAAACAGCTTAACTGGTCTCCTCCAAACTACACTCTCAACTTCCCCTCTCCGAGACTCTGTCACTCAGACTGGAGTGCAGTACACCATCATGGTTCGTGCACTGTAGGCTGTACCTACAGGTCTCAATCTTCCTACCTCAACGTCCCAAGTCTGGGACTACCAGTAAATGCCACCACACCCAGCTAATTTTTTTGTATTTTTTGTAGAGACAGGGTTTCACATGTTGCTCAGGCTGGTCTCAAATTCCTAGGCTCAAATGATACACCCACCTCAGCCTCCAAAAGTGCTGGGATTACAGGCGTGAGCCATGATGCTAAGCTCAAGCCCCTTTTCTAAGCTCCCCTTTCCCAATTCATTCTTTGCCTTACAACTGAAGCTTTTAAAAATGCACATCTGAGGCCAGGCGCAGTGGCTCATGCCTGTAAGCCCAGCTCTCTGGAAGGCTGAGGAGGGCAGATCATGGAGCCAGGAGTTCAAAACCAGCCCGACCAACATGATGAAACCCCATCTCTACTAAAAATACAAAAAAATAGCTGGGTGTGGTGGCGCCTGTAATCCCAGCTACTCAGGAGGCTGAGGCAGGAGAATTGCTTGAACCCGGGAAGTGGAGGTTGCAGTGAGCCAAGATTGCGTCATTGCACTCGAGCCTGGGCAACAGAGTGAGACTTTGTCTCAAAAAAAAAATAACAGCCGGGCGTGGTGGCTCAAGCCTGTAATCCCAGCACTTTGGGAGGCCGAGGCGGGTGGATCACGAGGTCAAGAGATTGAGACCATCCTGGTCAACATGGTGAAACCCCGTCTCTACTAAAAATACAAAAAAGTAGCTGGGCATGGTGGCGCGTGCCTGTAATCCCAGCTACTCAGGAGGCTGAGGCAGGAGAATTGCCTGAACCCAGGAGGCGGAGGTTGCGGTGAGCCGAGATCGCGCCATTGCACTCCAGCATGGGTAACAAGAGCGAAACTCCGTCTCAAAAAATAAAATAAAATAAAATAAAATAACAAAGAAAAAAAAATGTGTATCTATCCCCTACTTAAAACCTTAGGACAAAGACCAAAATCTCTAATTTGGATTACCAGGCTTTGCCATATCTGGGCCATGATTACTTGCATAGCCTCGCTTCATCTGCACTCTTCCCCAGGCACTTTCTCTTCCAGTACTACCAAGTCTCTCTGGGTTCCCACAGCAGGCCTTGCCTTCTCTAGCCCTAGTTCCTTCAACATGTTTCCTCTCCGAACTTCATTTTCCTCTCTTACCCTTTTCTTTTCCTAACTTTTACTTATTCTTCTAGTCTCTGCTTAAAGCTCACTTCTTCAGTGTGGCATAGGCTGTTGCTCTGTATCAAAATCAATACCCCACTTAGATTTATTTGGAATGACTATAGCAACAGAAAAAAAGAAAAGTGCTTTGTGTTTAGTAAAAAACTACATTTTAGTACCTGCACATGACAATCTATATATAGGTCTATAAAGCTTAGAATTAAGACAATTATACCCTGAGGAGTTTCCAGGATAAGAAAAAGTTCAAATTAACAAAGAAAAAATCAATATGAAACATAAACAACAAGCAGCAAAGGCTGAAGAAAAACAGGACTTAAGTAAGGCAACAGCAATTTGGCGAATGGAAGATGGAAGAGGCTCTTTCAGAAGAATAACTTTTGCTATGCTATTATGCCAAGGGATGTGGAAAAATAAAAAACTCTGTTAAGTAAGGAGATATATTTAACTGGAGCAGAAAACACTGGCAAAAAAGTACTGGAACTCTTAAAGATAAAAGGGACCATATAAGATTCTAAAACTCCCTAATTCCAAGATGAGAAAAAGGAGATCCAGGCCAGGAGTGGTGGTTCACACCTGCAATCCCAGCACTTTGGAAGGACCAGGCAGTGGATCACTTAAGGTCAAGAGTTCGAGACCAGCCTGGCCAACATGTGAAACCCCATCTCTACTAAAAACACAAAAATTAGCCAGGCATGGTGGCACGCACCTGGAATCCCAGCTACTTGGGAGACTAAGGTCTCCCGAATCACTTGAACCTGCCACTGCACTCCAGCCTGGGTGACAGAGTGAGACCCTCTCTCAAAAAAAAAAAGCAGATCCTAAAAGGCCAAATGAGTTTTACCTGGAGCTAATGAGTAGCAAAAAGACTCCAGGCCTTCTCATTCTTTTTTCTTAAGCACTCTGGGAAAGCACTGTACCAGGTACCCTTAAAGAATCTAAAAGAAATGTAAGTGTCCTTACCTTCAAAAAACTTAGAATGTTGCTGAAATAATATGACAAATGAAAAAGAAAAATAAGAAAACAGGACGTAAATTTTTAAAGTACCAAATTATGCACTACAGAAATATATCAGGCATTTGGGAGCTGCGTTCCAACAACTAAACGGAAGATCAGGAACAAAAACAAAAGGAACCAAAAGGCAAACCAGTGATTGCTGAAGTGGTACTTAAAGGAAAATAATCTTGATGACTTGTGTTTAGAATGGCAGGAAGGGAGAGGAAGGGAAGAAAACGAGAGGAATAATAGTAAATTTTTCTTTAAATACCTAAAAAATACAGACTGCTGTTACACATTCAGGCAGGTAGCAGACCAAGCAGCTTATGTTTGCAAAATTACTTCAAATTACAAGACCGGTTTACAATACATAACTAGCAAGCTGCACAAGTTCCAAGTGTAAGAACTTTACAAGGCCAGTATGACTCACTGATTTCTACCAACGAATCACTGATGGAGCTGTGCTTATAAAAACAAAAGCACAGAATGAAAGAAGTCTATTTTCAAAAGAATTGTGAACTTTGAGATTATCTCTTTTTTTTAATTTATTTTAGAAGGAAGTTCTGGTTTGGTTTTAAGTCTCAAGTTACCAACGAACTTGCTCTAAAATCCACTAAACTCTAGTGTCAAGAGATAGGAGTGTCGAGAGAGAGGATCAACTATTCATGAAGGTATCACCAGCAAAAGTTCTACTTGCCAACTAAAGCCAGTACATCTATAAGATCTCATTCACCATTTTATTCTAAGATGCTTTACTGGCTTGGCGGCCTCCAGTTCCAACCACAAATACTTTACTAAAATATCCTTCAAGCCAGGAACAGCATCTTAAAGTCAACGACACCCTTCATCATACCAGTATTATAACACAGAACTCTGACATGTAAAGATCCAAAATCACCAACTGAATAATGACAATTAGGTAAAATGATTTGTTAGATTTTTAAATGTTTTACAGAAAGCTTTAGGCTTCTATAAGAAAAAACCTGGTAATGGTTTGCATTCTCTATAATCTTACCAAAAAAAAAAAAAAAAAAAAAAAACCCTGCAGACCAGAAATCAAAAATAGCTTTACACAAACAAAAGAAAAATTGTAGGTTTGCTGAGGGCATCAGTCGCTTAATTTAACCCCATTTCATCAGGAGCGGGAAGCCACACTGCTGTTTTCACCAGTTACTAAGAAACAAGATAAAGGACAGATTGGGACAGTAGAGTCTATAGCTGAAAGTATTATTTTGATGCAATTACTGAGAATTCCCAAAGTGTCACTAATAGACAAGAAAAAGCATCTAGGACTGCCTCTAAATGAGTCCACCTACAACAGCCTTTAAGTAAAGACAAGACTTACTGGAGCTTGTGGGTTTTTCCTCCTCTTCCCTACCCCCATCTTCCCATCTTCATTCCCCACTCCCCAAGCAGGAAAGGAAGCTCGCCCGGCATAAACACAGGTCATTGCTCACAGCTCGTCACCACAACAAACGGGAGGTTAGACCGACGCTCCTGGAAACGGAACTCCAGGTCTTCGTTGCTAGGCACAAAAAAGGGGATTTTCCCCACAGACTTGTGAACAGTATGGGCCTTATCAGTTGTTTCCCCACCTTTCCCTTTAAAAAAAAAAAAAAGAAAAGAAAAGAAAAGAAAAAGCTTTGGAAACGGTGACGGCAAAAGTTTCCCTTTGGGCCAGACCTCTACCTCTGCCTTGTACAGATAGATAATAGGTGGGCTGGTCTCAAGTCATCTCCACCGTCATTACGAATTTCAAGCGGAGAAGACAGGAAAGCTTCCACACCCACCCCACGGTCGTCTTCCCCAGGCTCTGCTTCCTGGTCCAAAACAGCACAAATAACCCAAAACCATGGTGATGCGCGGAGCTGTGAAATACACACGCACAAGCCGCACTGGGAACCTGCCACGACAGCCGGGGGAAAAAAGCCGGCGGAGTGACGAGACGCAAGGCGGTCCCCTGTCACTTAAGGACAACACGCCCAAGCGAGAAGTGGCAGGAGGCAGGGGGAGTTGCCCCGAAACCTGCCCACCTTCCTGGGAACGCAATCCCCGCGGCGGCCGTGAGCGGACGGGCCGCAGGACGCGGCGCCCGGTCGCGAGCGGGGGCCCCCCGAGGAAGGCGCCCCCCGCAGGCTGGGCGCCCCAGGAGAGCCGGCGGCCGGCCCGGCCCCGCCTCGGGGAGCTGAGGGGAAGTCGCTCCCCGCCGCGGCCCCCTCCCGCCCGTTCCCACTCACCGCCGGTGTGTCTGGTTCTCAGCCGCGAGCTGGGGCTGCCGTGAGGAGGCGGCGGAGGAGACGAGATCTGGGGCCCCGCCGCCGGGTCATCATACCCTCCGCGCGAGCCGGCCCGGGCCCCGGCCCCCGCCCCCCCGGAGCCGTCCCCGCGCCCGTCCCGCAGGGGGAGCCTCTTCAGCGTCCCGCCAGCTCCACCAACCCAGCCCCTTCCCGCCGCCGCCGCCGCCTCAGCCCCGCGCGCTCCCGCCTCGGCCTCCGGCAGCCGTCCGGGGCTACCGCCGGGGCCCTTACTCCGCAGCCGCCGTTGTCGCCAGACCAGACGAGCGGAGCGCCGAGCGGCCACCCCCGACCCGGCCGGCCCCGCCTCGCCGGAACTATTCACCCGCCCCGCGCCATGACACCTACTGAGGCGGAAGTGCAGCTGAACGGACTCTCTAGGACGACCGCATAGTAGTGATCGCGGTGGGAGTGGGTGGGGCCTGGAGCGGGTGGGCCTCCGTGGGGAGCCAGCGCGGACCGAGGGCTGGGGCCGGATTTCTCGCCCCCTCCGCGCCGTGGACTCCGCGGTAATTTAGAGGTGCTGGCGGGTAGGGGATCCAACTGTAAAATGTCATCCCAGCTAGTGTGACATCACCACAGCCTAGTGTGACACCCCCAGAGATTGGGCAGTGTGCGGGAAGACAGTGGCTAGTAGAGGAGCTGCACTGCCGGTGAGGGATTACCTGATGTTTCATTGCTGCCTACAGACGTTTTAGCAATGTGACATCTGCGTATCGCATCTGGAAGTCTCCCTGTACGTCAAGAGCCCCTTAGGGGAGTCTCCCATTGCCGCCTTGGGAACCTGTGTTGACATTACAAGAGAGAATAGCTGTGCCCTCAACTCAAACGCTCAAAACAGGCAGCGAGCGAATCCTAGCATAATTTTCTTGATTCTACCAGAAGGAAGTGAGGCTGGGTATTTAGGAAACAGAACGCGTTGGGCACAGTTCTGAGAAAACAGACACTGTGAAAATTAGGTAATCCTAATAGAAAAGCAATTGGGATCTCCCAAAGTCAAGAGTTTCTGTAGTACTTCCGATCTATCTCCTGATGTGTAAAATACTCAGATTCCTGAAGAGGGGGGCATTTTTCGGGAGACTGTAACCTCTTCATTTTTTCCATCCCGCACAAGTACTGGAGGCAGCAGTGATCTGAGCCCTAGAAAGTGGCTGTCCTGCACCATCGGTATTTGCATATATTCTGTGAGGAGGAGGCAGATGTGGCTAAGACAGAGTTCTATCAAGTTTTTCTTTTTTTTCTTTTTCTTTTTTTTTTTTTTTGAGACGGAGTTTCGCTCTTGTTACCCCGGCTGGAGTGCAATGGCACGATCTTGGCTCACCGCAACCTCCGCCTCCTGGGTTCAGGCAATTCTCCTGCCTCAGCCTCCTGAGTAGCTGGGATTACAGGCACGTGCCACCATGCCCAGCTAATTTTTGTATTTTTAGTAGAGACGGGGTTTCACCATGTTGACCAGGATGGTCTCGATCTCTTGACCTCGTGATCCACCCGCCTCGGCCTCCCAAAGTGCTGGGATTACAGGCGTGAGCCACTGCGCCCGGCTCTCTATCAAGTTTTGTTTCTCAGATCTCACTTATGAACATCTTTGATTTCCTTGGATCCCTATGTCACACACAAAAATGGATAATTTTTGTAAAATGTGCTGAAGTACCTTTTAAGGGAAGTCATTTGGCTTTCGCTCTGGCTTAACAACACTGGGAGCAGTTCCATTTTATCTGGAACAGGGAAGTTTATTTCCCTAGAGGACCCGGGTTAGCAAAAATGTTCAATCCCACAAGGCAGTTTTGCTTGCATAGTTTCACAGAAACTTCCTTCTACTAAGGATACAAAGAAAAAACGGTATGGCCTGTGCCCTGAAGGAGCTTACAGTTAAGCAGAGAAGTGGCAGGATGTGGAAGCAGTAAGGTAAATTGAGTCAGATTTTGAAAAGCAGTGTAGAGGCTGCTAGTTTATTCACACAGGTGGCTGGGCGCAGTGGCTCATGCCTTTAACCCCAGCACTTTGGGAGGCCAAGGTGGCAGATCACTGGAGGTAAAGCGTTTGAGACCAGCCTAGCTAACATGGTGAATCCTGTTTCTACTAAAATTACAAAAATTAGCCAGGCATGGTGGCAAATGTTTGTAATCCAAGCTACTCAGGAGGCTGAGGCAGGAGAACTGCTTGAACCCAAGAGGCGGAAGTTACAGTGAGCCAAGATCGCACTGCTGCACTCCAGCCTGGACAACAGAGCCAGACTCCATCTCAAAAAAGAAGTTTATTCAGACAGGTAATATGAGAGAACTGGTGATGGTGAGGAAGATGGCTGGCTGGAGTGGGTAAAGACTGGAGAAAGGGATCCTAATCAGAAAACTATGATGAGGGTTTCAGTAAGCAGGAAAGAAGGCAAGAAAGGGGCAGATATGTGAAATATATCCTCCTGAACAAAGTCAGCGCAGCTGGAGAGAGCCTGGATTCAGTGTTGAAGGCAAGAAGTCACTTGCCCAAAAGTGGCAGTGCTTAAGACCTAATAGGAGAAGCTGACAAGAAGGCTGTGTCTTGAGAGAAGCTCAACCAAAAATCTAGGCAAACTATTCAAACAAATAATGAATCCTAGGGGCTAGGGAGAAAAAGAGAATTTAAATAGAAGTCAACAGGTTGTGAAACTGGGAAAACCAGTTTAGAGTGAAGGTCTGCAGTAAAGGATAAAAAGCAGAAAAATCCCTTGAACCAACAGGAGGAGAACCTCAATGATTCTTTTTAAAGCCAGAACCCAGAATACTTTTTATATGGGTTTTAAGCATATCAATAAGTTGCAAGAGTAACAGAAAGAGGATCCACATACCCATTACCCAGATTATTAACAACTTGCCCCTTTTGCTTTATCACTTGGCAGTTGTCTGGATGGATGGATGGATAGATAGATACATACATGCATATATAAACAGATACATGGATAAATAGACACATAAATACATAGATACATAAAGATATATTACACATACACATACATATTTTTTTCTGACCAGTTGAAAGTAAATTGCATGCATCATGCTTCTTTACCCCATAATACTTGAATAGCCTAATAAGTACATTCTCATATATAAACACAACACATATAATTATCAACTCCAGGAAATTTAACATTGCTGTAACACTTTAATCTACCATCCATGTTCCAAATGTTGTCAGTGGATCCAATAACATCTTTCTTAGCATTTTTTTCTTTTCCAGTGCAAGATCCAGTTTAGGATCATTTATCACATTTAATCGTCATGTCTGTCTAATGTTCATTAATCTGGCACAGTTGCTCAGCTTTTCTTTGTCTTTGATATTCTTGAAGAATATGAGCCTTTTTCTAGTGAAGGGGTAATAAAATGTTCTTCATTTTAGGATATCCTCATTTTAGGTTTGTTATTTATGTTTGTCTGATGTTTACTTATAATTAGATTCAGGTAATCCATTTCTTGCCAGAATACTGCATGTATGATATTGTATCCTCAGGATATTATATCCAAAGACACACGATGTCTCTCTCTCTGTCCCTCATTGGTGATACTAATTCTGATCACTTTGTAAAGGATCTGATTTCTCCACAGTACATTTACTATTTTTTCCTTGTAATTAATAACTGTCCACTTTAAAATGTTTAATAATACATTATGTCAATTTTATCTCACTAAAAAAAGGGAGCAACATAGTGAGACTTTGTCTCTACAACAATTTTATTCAGATGTCTTGAAGGATAAAATTTTTTTTTTAGTTAGCTAGGCATGGTGGTGCACAGCTGTAGCCCCAGCTATTCAGGAGGCTAAGGCTAGAGGATTGCTGGAGCACGGGAAGTTGAAGCTGCAGTGAGCTGTGATCTTGTCACTACACTTCAGACTGGGCAACAAAGTAATACCCTGTCTCAAAAAAAGAGTGAGGTGGTAGGGAAGGAGGTTTTCAGGATTTAGAGACAAGGTACCAGAAATTTTACCCTTAATTTTCCTAATTTTCAAGGGTCAACCCAGAGACTATTGTGGGAAAAAAACAAATGCCTTGACTCCTTATGCCACCCATGTTTATGACTCCTCAGATCCTCCTTCCCCCATAATCATTTCTAATGTCTCCCTTTTCTATACATAATGATCTTACTCTTTTTCACTTTTCTCATATACCAACTGTTTATTCAACAAAAGCAAGGAATAGCGCTTTCTCTCCCTTTTCTTTGATCATGATTTCTCATATGCCCCCTGTGTTCTGTAGCGTCTCACCTTTTCTTTTTTAAAAACTCATCTCCCCAACTCTGAGATGCTCACCTTTTCTTTGACCAACTGTTACACAGTGTTTAGCATCTGTATCCTATGTTTTTCCCTATCATCAATTTCAAGCAACATCTAAAACCAAAATAAATGCTTTGGGAAGGCACACAGAGACCCATAATGAAAAGGGCAATAAAGCAGAACAGGAACTTGAAATTTAATAATGGAATATTATTTGCGCTAAGTCATTTTGTACTTCCCAAAAACTCAGAAATCAAAAAGCCCTAATGGAGTGTCCCCTGCCCAGCACAATTCCTTATACATGGTTGGTGCTATAACTGTTTTGCTGAATAAATTACTGAGTGCTTATTCACAGTGCTCAAAGTATCAGGATCAGTTAACTATAGAATAGGCATTAAGAAACTTCAGATGGGCCAGGTACAATGGCTCATGCCTGTAATCCCAGCATTTTCGGAGGCCGAGGCAGGAGGATCACTGGAGCCAAGGAGTTGAAGAACCAGCCTGGCAACAGAGCACCACTGCACTCCAGCCTGGACAACAGCCTGGACAACATCTCTTTTTTTGTAGAGACCTCATCTCTACAAAAAAAAAAAAAAAAAAAAAAAAAAATTAAAATTAGCCAGGTATGGTGGTATGCACCTGTGGTTCCAGCTACTTGGGAGGGAGGCTGAAGTTGGAGGATCACTTCAGCCCAAAAGATTGAGACATTGTGCCACTGTACTCCAGCCTGAGTGACAGAGTCAGATCCTGTCCCAAAAAAAAAAAAAGGAAGGAGGGAGGGAGGGAGGGAGACCTCACATTGGTCACACCTGTAATTTCAGGACTGGGAGGCTGAGGCAGGAGGATTATTTGAGGACAGGAGTTCAAGACCAGCCTGAGAAACATAACAAGACCTCATCTCTATTTTAAAAAGATGAAACCTCAAAATAACATTCATCATCACTTGACTGTGAATTTAACTAATTTTTTTGTATTATTACTTTTGTAAATTAACTTTGATGAAACTT